CATTATTTAGAATACCTATACATTTACTTACTGTCTATCAATTATAAATTTTAATTTACTGTATGACATTTAAGTGATATATAGTCTATAATATAAATAATTACTATTTTATAATATAGCATATTAAAGAACTTTTTTTTTAATTTTACAATTTAATACAAGCTATAATAATTTTCATTAGAAATTCAATCTTTTTTTTTTTTTTTACCAAAATTAAATGCTTTTTTAAAATCTATTATTTTTATATCCTAAAATGTTATACGTGTGCTTAAAATACACTAATTATTTTTCAATTTAATATTAATGAAATAATTTATTTAAAATCGAAACTCTTTTATAATATTATTAATTATAGTAATAATATTATAGATATATTATAATATACTATTACCTATATATTATGTGAATGGTTTTTCTTGGCAAAAATTTTCGAACAATGAAGGTAATATAAAATACTGCGACTCAATTATAATTACATTATAACAATAATAATACGAGTATATACATACACGAGTATAAAACTATTATATTTATTAAAATATGTAGATCGTAGGCTATTATAATTAATAGGTTCATAAATGAGTAGGTTATCTAAGTAATAACTTAACTATAGTTCATAACTATCATTTTAAATGTATATTTGTTTTATATAATAATATATTTCTTTAAAAACCCAATACTATTTATTTTTACAAGAATAACATAAATCGTAGTTTACTCGTGATTAAAAAATGATTTATGTATTGCAAGTAATTTATTCATTGTATGGCTTACAATGTAAGCTGATTCTAAACGCAAATTAATCCACATATTTATTTATTTAACAGCTGTATGCCTGTATAATTTGTTCAACAGTTTTACCAAACAACATTTTAATACTTAGAATTACGTTCAACCGGATATTAAATTTATCCATATTACTCGTATATTAGATAATTCTATAATCAATATAAATAAGTAAATAAAAATATTAATGAACCTACATTCGCTATAGATACTCACAGATTATTACAGAGTTCAAATTAATTTTAAAAACACATAATTGTATCGTATAATATACAAGATTTCCGTCAAACATTCAGTAATAATTATTGTGTCATATATATTATAATAAAGAAGATTATTTTAATAATTGTATGCAGATATAATAAAGTTAGGATTCTTGTAATTTATATTTAAAAAAAAATATTTGGTTGAAATGCTGATTAAATACCTACTTTGTGTATAGTAAATAATTACAAGCTTATGATCTTTAAAACATAGACTATCTTTGATATTGCTAAATTACAAATTTAAACATTTTTTATCATAGATCCTATATTGTATATTATATCATTATATATAATATATAAAATATCTTCAAACAGAAAACCTCTCTATTTACAGTATATAGGTAATGAAAAACCATGTTTTACGATAAAACTAGATTAACACACTACATATAAACGGTATGCAAATTTACACAGAATTATTATAATTGAAATTTAACGACATTTTTTCCAGTGAATATATTATATATATATATAGGCTTAATAGTGAATGGGCGGCTGTGGCGGCAGCAGTAGTGGCGGCCCGTGACGCCCTGCAGGCGGCTAAAACTTTCCTGCGCAGTCATTACCGAACTTATACAACCATAAGGGTGGGTAGGAGAGGGCCTAGGGGAGCGGGTTGCAGAAGCAGCTCCGGAGGAGGATTACCACTTCATTTAAAGCCGCCATTTCGTAAACGGCTCACTCCGATTGGCTGGTTTGGTTTAATCGATGACACCCGGACGAGCTTTTAGTGTGGCGGCGGTGGCGGTGGAGTTGGTTAACGACGTAGTCGTCAGCGGCAGCGTTCTGGGTAAACGCCGCCGCGCCGCCGGGTGAAAGCGAGACGGGTAGTTATATATAAATATATATATATACGTGGTGGCGGCTGCGACGATGGTGGTGGCGGTGCCGTTTTATTAATGAACTTGGCACAGTATGCTGTTTGTTTCCATTTTAGTTTAAAAGCTTTCCTCTTATTGTAGTTCCTTTTTTCCATTTCTTCCTTCCTCCTGTTCCTTTCCCATCATCACTTCGACAAAGCGAATCCAATTAAACAACGAAAATACCCCGGACCAGTTTTTATTGTTCTCCACCCTCTCTTTCTCTTTCTCTACAAATTTATATATATAGAGAGCTCCGATTTTTGTTTTTCACCCTCAAAATTACTTCACTAACGTCTTGCTTGACTTACCCTACCATTCCGCTGATTCCCATACACAAACTCGTCCTCTGGGGCAGTTTGTCCGGAGACAAATGCTAAACGCAAAACACCCTCCCCAGCAACTCCCGACCGCATCCATAAGCAGACACCACATCAGAGCATAATACGTTTCGATGTTATATATATATATGTGTGTGTGTGTGTGTGTATTATAATAGTAACTCGAGCCGTAGATAAAATTTTGCTCAAACTTTGTATAAATACGGACTTTAGAGGTCATTGTGACTTCACTGACGTTTTAATGGAGACTATATATACAATATATGCTGCGATAATGGTGAATTCCACTCCATGCGTTAATAAATCCATTTACAAAAATATTACTTGACCCAGAATTTATAGCATTATACATATAAATATTAAAATATGCATGTCTCTACGCAAGCTCGTCTTGTAATAATTTTTTGATAATTAAATTATAGAATAATATAATATACGAGTAGATAACCTATAATAAATAATGAGATCACTCTAGTGTTACTTGCTTTTATACATTCTAGAAGATTAGACAAGTTTTATTATATAACCATCCATTTTATAGTACAACGATTTTGAATAAATTGCGTTACGAGTAATATTTTAAAATAATTAAACCTCTCTAAATATAGCCCAATAACTTGTTACTGATTAGCCATCTGAGAAAAAAAGACAAGCAATTTGAAAAAATGAAAGAGCTCATAACAGTTTAATAACAATATCATAACCTGTACTGGACATACATTAAAATAGTGTGTAATTTTTCAGCATGCTCATTTATACATAATTTATAAACTTTATACAGTTAGGTAATCTGAAATGATAATTCAAAGAAATACGTAATTATATAAATCAATTTTTTTAAGTATTTCCTTAATATAAATAATAATGACCTCTGTTCGAACGAAACGAATTTTAAAATCATGCTCGTGGCAATAAGTCACATTAGGTGTAGGTAGGTATATAAGAATTGGTAAGAACATAAAAAATATATATCCTATATACGTGTTAAGCAAACTCAGCATTTGTACAAAAAAATCTTGAACATACTTAATTCTTGAAAAATCTTTATACATTTTATAACTAGTATATAAATTTCAATTATATACGTTTAAAAACCAGTTTGCTAAATACTTATATGAGGTTGCGTTGAATTCCTTTTAATTTCAAACTTAAATATTGACGTCAACATCAACCTTTATTCGCGAGTTACAAATAAAAATTGGTTAAGAATTATTGGCTACGTTTAAATCTAAACATTATATGAACATTTATCACTTATCATAATTTAACACCATAAAAATATTAAATTAAATAAATTTCGTGGAAAAATAATAAAGGTATAATTTTAAGGTAATATTAGGTCAAATACTTTTTTTTACGTTTATTGAAAATTTATGTTTTCGTCACAAATAATTAAATTCAAGGAAATAGAAATAGGAAAGGAATAAAAAAGGAATTTAACAGTTTGTAATAATAATCAAAACTATAGTACAATTTAAAATCTATGTTATAATGTTATATATGCATAATAAATTAATAGTTTATTACACACAACTAGGATGGTAATAAAAAAATATATATTAAATATGTTAATAATACATTAATTTCATAAACTATACTATCGTTTCATAAAGTATTGGATATCTTTAAAGGTAATAATGTATATTTTTATTAATTTATTATATTTTTAAGTTTTTTAAGTTCTAAGTCTAATATAATATTATATAAAAAATTAATTGCTTATAATTTAAATTTTAAAAAAATCAGGGAAGCTACTCAACTGCATTATAGATTTCTAGTGCACTTAGTCATTGAATAAGTTAATGTAACGAATGTGATAAATTTGAATTCAACAATAAATAATTGTATAAGAACTGTGCAAATTTTGTATATAGTCAGCCTCTTCTTCTTAAGATATTTTATTACTAAAATATATTAATATTAGTAATTTATTTTTTTTATTATTAATATACAATAGGTTGAACTTATTTCTACGAAAACACCGTATGTAATATTTATATCATATATTATTGCATCATCAATTAATAAATCAATACCAATGTGAAATACAACGGTGTAAATAGATTCGTTGACTTTCGTAGTATAAATAATTTAAATATTTTTATTTTTTCAGAACAAAGAATATTATATAAATAAACGCTATGGCGAAAAATGAAACCTTTTTTGAGTGTCACTCAATTTATATTTTATTAATAACAAAACAATAACCAATAGGAACTCAATTCTTCTATTTTTCGTTTAGATATCCAATTAAAACGAAATTAAAACTTCATATCCGAATATGTTCATAAAAAGTGTAGGTATCTGGCTTTACACCACGCTTTTTTTTTAACCTATAATAATAATGGTTTGTGAAAAATTTTAAATTACATTTTTTCAGTTAAAAAACTAAAAAAAAACAATGATTTAATTTAAAATGTTTATAAATAATACAAAAATAATCTAAAATTATTGGAAACCGATAAGTAAAAATTCCTGTAATGCTTTTTATTTTCCCTGAGAATTTAATACTATAAATTTTACACTTAGCTTTTGAACACACAAAGTATCATTTAGATCAAATTAATAACTAGAAACCACTCTTAACGTTTAAAATTAAGTTTGAAGTTTTTATGCAGGATCAAAATGTGATGATAAACCACAAAACAAAAATAAATTATTAAAATAAAAACCCACACATCGTTGTAAATTAAATAAATACACACGCATCGCTCCGCTTATTTTTAATAACCGCAAAAAACAATTCATGTTTCCGCCCAGGATCGAACTGGGGACCGACCTTCTGCGTGTTAGGCAGATGTGATAACCGCTACACCACGGAAACAGTTGTCAATTGGAAGAGAAATGACAGTAATTATTCGTGTTCAAATTCATTAGGTAATTCATTTGTAATTTTTAATTATATAATTAAAGTAAAAAATAAAATAATTCTTTAAAAGTACTGTATATTTATGTTTTAAAGTGTTTTAATGAATGCTGCTTACATCTTCTACCTTTCAAATATTGATATTGGTGTCTAACACCTAAGTTAATTAAGTTAAATACAAATTAGTAGGTATACCATCAAATCATATTGTTAATCAATATACTCATTAATCCGCTCATGATCTAAAAATTATGAAATGTCAAGTATCTATCTATGTAAATTAATTCATGAAAAATACTTTTATAAGTGTTTTTATTTGTGTCTTTTTGGTTGATATTCTAGTCAATATTAATATAATATATTAAGCAGGTACTTATATGAAAAGTTGAAAGTATCTAAAATGGTAGGCAATCTTTAAATGAATAAAATGATGTTTTTTTTTTTTTTTTGGAAATATTGATAAACAAAAATGGCTTTTCTACACTGTCATAATTTACATTGATTGAAAACATGAAACGCAATATTATAGTAGAAACACATTAATATCCACCTGTCAGCTTAAAAACCAAATCGTAGCTTCATCTCAGATTACATATCCCATTAACATTCTTGAGGACGGTGTTTTATACAAGTGCGATGCTTTCGTTTTGCCCCGATTCCTTTCGGCTTTCGAAATATAGTTTTCAATATTCGGTTTACATAAAAATATTCAGATGTTTAAGATGTTTACATGTCTTTTAGATAGGTACCCCAATATATTTACCATGAATATGAATGTAACTAAGTGGAAATACCTATAACTGTAATTTATACTGATTATACCCCAAGAAAATACCAACAAATCTAATCAATTTAATTGGATTTAATACCTATCAAATAATAAAATGTAATTAAAAAAAAAAAAAAAAACAATTTTACGAAATTGGATTATCCTCAAATACTATAGTTTTTTTTATTTCACGACGTCACATTATTATTTTTTTTTCCGGTATAGACATTACTGAAATTGGCTATTTTGATTGATTTATCGAATCCATATCAAATATAGGTACCTATAACGACATATTGTATAAGAAAATATGTCATCTGCAGACTATATAGTATACACTTTTAAAAATATGAATGGGATAATAAAATATATACTGTTCTGTCCCGACTTACCATTTGCCCCTTAACGCTCGACATAACATCCTGAAAACTATATGTACACAATGCACACAACGGATTTTGTAAGCAGTTGCATACTAATAGTGTATGATAAAACCTTATCTCACCCACAACGCATCGCGGGATAAGCACCTATACAGAGAATGAGAAGAAAAGGAAACTTAAATTGATTTGTCCGTTTGATATCGAACTGCCATCGTGGAAATCTCGACGTAGCTAGGTGAATAGCCGTATAGGTGGGCTATACCTGGTTGTCTTGGCGTCTATATCGTCTGTCAGATTTCATCCCCTAAAACACGCGGGCGCCGTCGTGTGTGCTTCTATAGATATTGTATATTCACGACAGGTCAGAAGACAGCGGTGCGGCGGCGGCAGTGGGGTCGCCGTCATCATTATTATATTTCCAAGAAGTGTGTCCGCCACGTATACACATATAACAATTGTATAGGAACGATGATAAATGGTGTAGAGGGCACACTCACTCGTCGTGAATATATCACGAGTCAAGTGGCATCAGTAACACCAGCTCACAATGTATAATATAATATGAACGCATATCCTTTTATATATATATATATACGTATAATAATAATAATGTACGTGTGTTTACCTAATAATATTAGCCGAAAAAATAAGATGGGAAAAAAGGAAAACATGGTTTCAGTATAAAGTATAAAAACGCCCAATGGAAAATAAATAACGACAAAAACCACCCACGAAGCGAATTTCGTGTTATTCTTTTTATTGCTCTCAACCCTAAAAACCAGCAGCTGACACCAGAAACCGCAAACACTCGATACGGTCATTATGTGTTATGTATACACAAATGCTGTTTTCTCGCAACCAGTGGCTATATTGAATTATCACTGTTTTCCGTCATTAAAAATAACAAAAAAAAAAAAAAAAAAAATCGTCTATGATTGGCAGAACGTCCTCCGATAGACGTTTAAATGTAAGTGGTAAAGTGGAAATAATAGTATGTATAAACATTATGCGTGTTATGCATATATAAATATTCGCTATGTGCATTGACGCAGATCGACTCGAGTTTAAACACGATATTATTTATTGTATTTACCACACGACTCCATCGTTGCAAAAGACATCTGCTGTGCAATATTATATACTTATAATACGCCTGCATCAAGATAAGTTTGTAAGTGCACGAGTGCATGACACGATGTCCAATAACGATTAGTTAAAACATTTGTATGGAAAAATATCAATAATAAAAATTCCAAGTCTCTACACAATGCTCCTTTTCTTTACTGCATTTATGTGTATTTCGACTCTTTTCATATAACATACGTACAATTATTTTGACACTAACAAATGTTTGAAAAGGATAGTAGATATAAACTGAATATTTTGTTAAAAATTATTTTATCCGATTGAAATTTACTTGAACAATACTATTATAAAACTACTAAACACCAATTTTATTTTATTCGACTATAACGTGTTGTATTAAGATTATCAGGAAATTTTAATAAATCAAAAATAGTTATATTTATTATTTAATTTTTTGTGGGTAATAATACATATGTATAAATGTAACTTATTTTTTTATCATTATCTATTTTTGACAAATAAAGATATTCACAAATAAAGAGTTGAGATGAGAAAAAAATTTAATGATTGGAGGTCTAAAACAGAAATAGATACTTCGTGTTTATATCACAATACTTATACACTAATTATTTTTGAGTGTTCCACTTTTATTCTCAAATCAACCTTTCTGTTTTCAACCAAATCGATCCACTTCATACTTGGTCTACTATCTCAGTATAATAGGTAATACATATTATTTTATTTTTTCGCCACAATCATTTTCAGTTTTTAAATTTTGGTTAGGAACTCTTTCTGTACTGTAAAAATAAATATTTATTGATAATTGTCAATGATTTTTAAAAATAACTATACATTTAACTAAAATAATTAAAAGCAATTGATCATTAACTAAAAATATTAAAAAGATCATGCTGAAGTAATGTTTACAAATTCAATATATAAGTTATTTATAATGTTATTAGCTATTATAAACATAATATATATATAGTTATATATAAACATACGAAATATAGATACATAGTAAATGTTAATTTTATTCACATTTAAAAAACGTCTATACGTTATACAAATAGAAGCTTGATAAGATAATAAAATCATTACAGCATTTAATCTTAATTGTAATCACATGCCAGCATGCCACGTATATTGCTAACGCAATCTTTACTTCCTCTCCTATTGACGAAGAAAAGGCACAGATTATGAAAATATTATCTATAAATATAAATAGAACAATTATATGATATTATTATGTTTTAATACTATATTTTAATTCTTATAATAAGAGTTAAAAAAATTTAAGAACTGAAATTTTTTGTGTCAAAAAATTATAATATATAATACCATATATTATATACTAGACAGAAAAATCGATTTTGGCAGAAAACGACAACGTCTCTTATTGTACTATACATTTAATTTTTTTTATTAAATTATTTTAATGACCACCCAAATGCTTTTATAATGAATCACCCATTACATAGATATTATTAAAATTTAATAATAACTGTTATGCAGTCATCATAAATTTTACGAGATTATGTAGATATTATTTCATTTTTATATTTGAATTAAAATATCAATAAAACTGTATATTAAATTTCGTGACGCGTGAATAAGTACACGAGTTTAATCTGACATATTCATTAGATTTACCTTCCCTTTAAACACGCCGGTAATTTACGCGTTAAACACAACACTCCGATAAAACATCATTTGAATTATATCGAAATAAAGAGAAATAAAGATAGTAACCCCATACATATATAACTGCGCGTTTATGTTTTGACACTGTGTTTATTTATATTCTTCTATACAGTGCATGATTAAACGCGAAACCCCGTGGTTTTCTTGGTGTTGAACAGTTAGGTATCCCGTGAGATTTTTTTTTTAATAGAATCGCTGACATTAAATTAACTTATAATGGGTGATCATTTCAGGGTGTCATTTTCCTTCTTTTATATATTGTTGTGAATATAAAGACGCAATTCATAAAGGTTTTTAAAACAGTCTCTCTCTCTCTCTCTTTCTCCACTCCCTCACTCATTCTTTAATAATAAAAGCAATACTGAGCCAAACCAAACTATCACACTGAAACTTAGTATATGAGAATTTGTCATACAGTCATTGTCATCATAATGTTTCATCTTACAATAGTCTGCCTAAAATCAGCAACACTGTATTTTGTATTAGTGTTTTTTATAGAAAATTTACCTAAATATACATAATAAATTGCATATTTGTAGACAAATTAATTATTATTAACAAAAATAAAATACATTTGTATTATGTATAGTATAAATTATAGATAACAAATACAGAACAAAACATTTTATAAATATCAGTTGAAAAAGCTATTTGCTTTTATACTAATTTTACTTGACATAATTCTTATATATCTACTTAAATATTTTTCATATTTAAAATGAAAAAAAAAAATTTTAATCATTTAGTAAGATATTAATGCTTTGTTTCTTGTATTAAAAAATTAATATATTATTATACTTGCTTAGTATTTGTAAACGTGTAATAAAATGTATCTATACATAAAACGAAATATACGATTACTTAAACAAGTATTATAACATGAAAAAACATGGTGTATTATTTGGGCGAAATCATTTTCGACCATAAACGTCCCCTCCCTTTTCGGCCAAAACAAAATTTTATATAATATATGTAAAAAAATAAAATAATTATTAAATAATTTTTGTAAAATTAGG